AATTCTTGGATAAAATCAAGAGACGTTTGGGTCGAGAATTTCACAAGAATCATATATCTCAGTCAAAATCTTGCTACTATTATGATCAACGACATTACCCATCAGTTGGTGAGGATTCAAACGAGTCAGAATATGAGTTTGGAATTAATTGTGAAGGTCAATCTTTAATCAAGAACCAATATTATGCAAAGTTTCAGCGACAAGAAAGTTCAAGCAACAATCTTGGAGTTTGTACAAATTTCACTAAATCAATTTCACGCAGAGCAGAGGTATTTTGTGCCAGAAAATTTGTTCGAAAACCTCCGTAACTCTTTGGGGAATCCATTGAAACTCCAAATAATAGCTGTGGAATTTTTCTTTCTTCTTGTACAAAACTCCCAACAACAACAATTGGAGAAAAACACCCAATCGATACCTTAACCAAGATGAGAAGATTTTGCCACTAAATTGACAAAATGCATAAGCGGTTACAAAAATGGAAGAACTTGTTAATTTTTAAGGTAATCTGGCCTCAATAGCATCCCCATTTATTTTATGTCAATCCTAAAAGCTCCGATGACAGTGGTTAATTCAATGGATGGTAGTGGTTAATTCAATGGAAAAACTGATGATAGATTTTATCTGGAATGGGGGTTCTTCAAGACGGATCGGAAACTTGGTGAAATGGTCTTGGGCAGCTCTTCCGCATGCAAAGGGAGGTCTCAGTATCGGGTCTTTGGCTAAGAGGAATAAGGCTTTGCTGATGAAATGGCTGTGGCGTTTTGCGACAGAGAGAGGAAGTTTTTGGAGGAAAGTCATAGCAGCTATCTATGGAGAAGAGCCCTTTGGTTGGCTACCTAAGCCTGCTAAAGGTTCTTCTGTAGACCTTGGATAGATATTCAAGGTTTGAGAAGGGATTTCAACAAGCTGTCTCTCTTCAAAGTCTCTTCTGGAAATTCAGTTTGTTTTTGGGAGGATGCCTGGATTGGCAGTGTTCCCCTTGCAGCTTCTTTTACGGACATCGACACTCTTTCCTTAAAGAAAAGTGCTACAATAGCCGAGTGTTGGTCGGCAGAATCTTCAACTGGGGATTTGGATTTTAGAAGGAATCTTTTCAAGAAGGAGGTAAGCAGATGGGGGATTTTTTCTGAAAAGATAGAGGGGGTGGCCATTGGGCAAGGCAGAAACAGATTGTGGTGGAAAGCAGATAATTCTGGGATGTCTTTGGTTAGATCCACATTTTTGGCCCTGAGTTCTCCTTCCTCTATCTTAAGTTCGACCATGGCAAATCAGATTTGGCATTTCAAAGTTCCAAAGAAAGTTAAGTTTTTCCTTTGGAACCTGTATTACAGAGGCCTCAACACAGCAGACAAGTTGCAAAGGAAATGTCCCTCGTGGGTTCTCTCTCCTTCGGTCTGTAGCATGTGTTTAAGGGATGAAGAAGTGGTGGACCATCTTTTCCTTCATTGTTCCTATGCTACAAAGGCTTGGTCTTTTATTGCTTCTCAACTGGATCTTTCTTTCTGTCTTCCTAGGAGAATAGAAGACTTTATCTCCAAGCGTTTTGGGGGATCTAACCTCAAAGGAAAAGCTGGTGTTTTATGGAAGTGTGCTGCCCAAGCTCTTCTTTGGCTTTTATGGAAAGAGAGGAACAACCGGATTTTTGAGAATATTTCGAAATTGTTAGATTCTTTTTGTGTGAATATTAAGCAAGTTGCTTCGTGGTGGATTTCTTCCCACAAGAAGTCTTTTTTTGTAATTATAGCCTCCAACTCATCCTACATGATTGGAAAGCCTTGATTGTTTAGTTCTCTGGGGAGGGTTCTCTCTATCCTCTGCCTTTAGGCTGTCTCTCTTTGGGATTCTTCCCTCTATCTATACACCTTTTTGATGTTTCTTATCAAAGAAAAAAAAGAGAAGATTTTGCCACTAAGATAGTGAAGACACTTCAAAATATTGCATAAGACCAATGAAAATTTCAGAGGATGCAAGAGGTAACTCAAATTTGCTTCAAGTTATACCTTGTATATTGATTTTAGAAATTACGGAATCCAGAACCCTTGTCAGATTGAAGCAATTGGACAAGAAGAGGAGTTTTTTCTTAAATTTTAAAAATATTTTGATGAGGAAGATGATGTTGATAAAGAATTGATAAGATCAGAGAATGATTCTCCTTTTTCTTTGGCTACGATGTTCTTTGAAGCTGAAATGCCAGATGTTAATGAGCACAGTTCTTTAATTTTTCAAGAAAGCTTACAGATGGGACAAGAAATTCAGAAGGCAAAAGATAAGGAACAAACTCATCCAGCCAAATTAATTTTTCACCATTTGAATAAGTTGTACCCCATTGAATTTGCCAATGTTGTTATATTTCAAGATTCAAATGCTGTTGGACAACCATATCAACCTTTAAATTCTTCGAATGACGACAGTGGGTTCAATGGGATGAAAACAAGGGAGATTTCAGAATATGATCAATATGCAAAGCCAAAAGAAAGAAATTTGTATATGGAAATAAATATGGAATGTGTGATTGGAAGAAAATAAATGGTCGACAATAGCAAGGAAGCTTTTATTCTCAATAAACCCACTCAGAATTTGTCCAGAGGGGAAGCTATATGATTTCTTCTTCGTTTGAATGAGTTGTTAACCATGGTGCAGGACCTATATGCAAATTTATATCTTGAAAGAATCCCTCATCGAGTGCACGTGTTTTGACGGACTCAAGACAACGTTTTCGGTTCAAGTTTTTTCAAACCATCGAAAGAAGAAGCATTGGAACAACAATCCTGCCTCCATTGTATTCTTTTTAAACTCGAGGATGAGTTTTTTTTAGGATGGAGGGTAACTGATGTAGTGAGTTAGTTTTATATTTTTGGTTTAATTGTTTTAGTTTTCCTAATAATTAGTTAGTTTTTAATTCTTCTATAAATAGAGGCTTTTGGGCTTTGTATTGGTACATCATTATTGTCAAATTTCCATTATGGATTCTTGGACAGCTTTAGGCTATACCAGTTTGGTTATCAAGATATTTTGTTCAATACATGGTTGTTCGTATGCCCATTTTCCAGCCATTATTGCTTCTTGATTTTGGCTGTCATGGGAGTTCATTCTTGGTGGATTCTTGGAGAAATGAAAAGTCTTAACGCAGACTTTTTTCTTTTTTGAAAAATCAAAGTATTTTGGGTGGATTTCGCTAAGCAGCAACCTTTCACCTTCTTCTTCAACAGACAGATTTGGTTCTTGAAGGGTGTATTTTTAAATACAGATTTGGTTGAGGACTTTTCCAAGCATTCTTTTGCGTACGGTTTTCAATCTTTATTTAACGAGCAAAAAGAAGATGAGAAACCCGTTCTCCCACAGCAAACAAGCACTCCTTCCTTTTTTGAAGAAATGGGGATTCCCTTGTCCCAATTGAGTCTGTTCTCTGAGTTTTAAGTTGTTCGAAATCTTGGAAATGTTCTCAATTATGCCTTCTGCATATTTTAAAGCTTTTCAGTTTTAGTTCGGTTGGTTGGTTGATGAGGTTTTCAAAGTCTTTCTCCAACGTGAGCTTTGTAGTTTTAGTTCGGTTGGTTGGTTGATGAGGTTTTCAAAGTCTTTCTCCATGGTTTGACATTTAGTGGTTTATATATGGAGGCTTTTTGAAGACAACATTGAGGCTTAGTATTTGGTGTTTTCTCCTTACTAGCATTTCAGCTGCGGTCTGTTCTTGTGCCCTAACTTCTACTTGGTTCTTTTTGAACTTTGGTCTTCGCTCTGGGTGCTAAGGAAGGTTATTCCCTCATGCGGTTGTTGGCCCTGGAATTAGTTTCATTTCCCAAGCTCGGCAGCAAGCAGTTTTTCTGAGTTTTATTTTAGAATGTTGTAATCACTTTTGAGCTTGTATTGCTCTTGTTGCGATATTTATTCGTTATTTTTCTATTCTTCTCTCTTTTCTTTTCTTTTTTCACACACTTGAGGGTTTTGTATCTTGAATATTTTTCCTTTTCATATATCAATGAAAAATTGTTTCTTGTTTAAAAAAAATACATCTCCCATTATCCAAGACAAATCTTTTGGTTTATCAAGGTGGTTCGGTGGGGGCATGTCTCCTCAAGTTCTCAACGGGTAGACTTTAATGCTGCATGGTGCATGGTGGGTATTAATGAGAGGACAAAAAGTCTCATGGCAGATTTCATCTTTATTCATGATATAATTGATTTATGATGCTTCGGTTTTCCAAGCAGCTTTTATTCCAAAATACCTTCTCACGTTTTTTCCTTGGACAGCTTTTATGTTTGTCCTTTTTTGTGGTTTTCGTGGGATTTGAGGAGTTCTTTTTGCAGCCTCTTTTTGGATTTCCAAAGGTTGCTTGTTTAATTTCTCTAAGAATCTTCATTGGCACGTGATGCCCCAGGTGTCAGCCTAGATTCATTTCTTCTCTGATTCATCTGATCCAATCTACTTCCTGTACAAGTTTTATTCTTATAATACTTTTCAATTTTAAATAAAATTAATTTTGTTGCACTTAATTGTGTTTTATATTTTTATTTGTTCTATTTAGCTGCCTATTGGACTCTGTTTTATGCTTACGGTTTATGTTTTTGCATCTTTTTAACTTTTATGCTTTCCTTTCACTCTTTCGAGGGTTTGTATCCTTGAACAATTTTTGTTCCTTTTCATTTCATCAATGAAAAGTTTGTATTTTGTTTATAAAAAAAATAAAAATAAAAATAATACAAAAAGTGAGTAAGTTAAAGGAATCTGTGTTGTGCCCAGTTTTGAGTAAAATATGTTATTTATCTGATAAATAACTTATTAAAATGTTGTATCTATGTTGTAATATAGCTATTTCATCTGAAGGGCTATTTATGTTTTGATGGTAATATTTGTCTGATACTTTGGAAATATTGAATCTAATTATAGTTTCAGATTCCTGCCCTTTGTTCACTCATTTCTCTTCCACGTTTCATCAATACTTCATTTTTTTTTAATTTTAATGTAAATCCTTTATTTGTTTTTTAAATTTTAATGTCCAGGAAGAACGATGAACTCCAAAAAGATGCTGTTGATGCTCTTTGTTGCTTAGCCCAGGCCCTTGGGGAGGATTTCACTGTTTTTATTTCATCGATACACAAGCTTTTATTGAAACATCGCTTGCGGGTTTGCCTCTTCTCCCAACAACATTTCAATTTATTTATGATATTGTAGTTAATTGTATTTGGAGCAAGATAAGCAAATGTTTCTTTTTATCAGCATAAAGAATTTGAGGAAATTGAGGGGCGTTTACGAAGACGAGAGCCACTGATCTTGGGGAGCACAACTGCTCAACGGTTGAGTAGGATATTTCCTGTGGAAGTCATTAGTGATCCTCTAAATGATGTTGACATTGACCCTTACGAAGATAGGTCGGATGTGCATAAACAATTTAGGGCTCACCAGGTATTTGTCACATGATTTGGTTCTGTTTCGTTGCTTTGGTATATAATGTAACTGAGCTCCTGCAAAAAGTTAACAGTCTTGTAATGTAGATATCTCTAGTTCGTTATGTCTGTGCAATTTAAAATGGATGGTGTTCTAGTGCTATGACAATTGAAATAGAGCATCTGTTCCCCGTATGCCTGAGAATATGATCAGAAAAGTAGGGTAGAAATGAGAATGAGATATACTTGAAATAAAGTTGTGAATTGGAAATAATCATAATCCTGTTAGAAGAAGGTAAATGACTAATCATATACGAAGAAGGTAAACGATAAATTAATACATATCAATACAAGAATAAAAATATACTAATATATATATATATATATATACTCTAACACCCACCAACTTTTAGGATCTATAAGATGCTTCTCAACAGATCTTTTGGAGAATAGTTTAAGGTGAGGAACTTGGCATAGTTATTGGGAGAGAGATAGTCCTTTCGAAAGGCTATCGATATTGTAACGTCTTTTTAATATTGAAATATAGTTATCTTGTTTCTTTCTCGTGATCAGGAACCTAAGTTTAATGTGTACTTGAAATTAACCCTATGGCCTCTCCGCTCTCTCCAGCAGCTATGACTCGCCGCTTTGGTGTTCCTGTCCGACATCCTTCGTGGGTTGTAGGTCGTTTTCGTGGGCCGCGCTAGGGTTTGTCTTGTGCCCCTTCCCAACCCAGCCTCTGCCATCTGTCGTCGTGTTTCTCCGTCGCTTCCTAGGGTTCAGGCGCCACCGCCTAGGGTTCGCCATCACTCTTCTCCGCTGTCCGCTGACTTGGTAGGTCTTCTATCACTACTGCTCGCCATCACCGACAAAGGTTTAGCGCCTAGGGTTCCGCCGCCAAGATTCAATACAGTGCAGCTTTGTGTTTTTTGCGTTATTTTTACATGGAAATCGGTTGTTGTTGAGAATAGGCTTTTTTGCATTTGGGTTGAAGATGAGTGCTTTAATATGGAAGATATGTGTTGGGAGGTGTTGCCTTTCAAATTTGGCCATTTATCTTGGTTTGAAAATCGGTTGGTTGAATTACTGCAATTACCAGAGCACTAATACTTCTTCGCACATGAAAGAATTGAATTCGGTACTTGCAGATTGAGGAAATTCAGAGTTATCCAAAGGAGTAGAATTTAATGCGTGGTTTGGCCTTCAACTGGGGGAAGAAGAAAGCTTGTTATTTTTGCAGGACCAAGGAAAAGTGGTTGATTAGCATTTTGGGATATGCTGAAGGTTTGTTTGATTCGTTCTACTGTGAAAGGACCTCAGCAAGGTATTTTTGGGCCTTCTCACTCTGAAACCCTAAAAGGTAAGGTTGCTTCTCAAGGTAGGGTGGACACTTTATTGATGGAGAATAAGGAGGCTTCTTCTTTAGGTCCTTTAAAACAATTTTGGGTTAGGAAGGATTCTGAAGTCTTGGGATAGATTGGAACAACATGATGGTCATCACGAAATTTTGTGCCTTAGACGGTTGGAAGGATATAGTTGTGGCTCTAAAAGAAAAGTTCTCTTAAGACTGTCAGTTTAACCTGTTTTTAGCAGATAAAGGGTTTTAAGGTTTGACGATGGTAGATTGTTGAACTTAAAGTGGGTTAATGACTTGTGGCGAAAGGTAGGAGAGTTCCATTTGAAGCTAGAGAGATGGAGATTTGAAGATCACGGCAAGAAGTGGTGGAATGCTTTGGAGGTTGTTAGAGTATATATTAGTATATTTTATATTATTGTATTAATATTAATTTGTCATTTACTTTCTCCTTATAGGATTAGGTCAACCTTGTATATTTGTCTATATATATAGACTTTAATAATGAGAATACATTATATTGGATTCTCTCCAACCTTAGTCTCTACATGGTATCACAGCCAAGTTTCTTGTCCATTAGGGTTTTGTGCCTTAGGGTTTTGTTCATTGCTATCCAACACAAATCACCGCCGACCGCTGCCGCCGACCGCCGCCGATGTTGATTTGCCAGTTGTTTTTCCAAATCCTATTCGTGGGTTTCGTCTCGCCGTCCTTCGCACCTTCGTCGCGGTGCGCTTTTGTCACCGCCAATCGCCTTCGCCCCTCTGGTTGTCGTGGGGGAGCACTTGGGGTTTCTGGTTTCAGAAAACACCTAATCCGATTTGGTTCCAACCGTTTGATTCATTTATTTTGTTTGGTTCGGGTGATTTGGTCTGGTTTTGTCGTTTTGTTCAAATAAGTTCGCTTGTTTGTTATGGCTGAGAAGAAATCAATCGTAACTTCTGAGGTGATCCCAATGATATGAACAATCACAGAACACAAGTTGAATGGATCAAACTATTCTTCATGGAAAATCAATGTTCGTCTTTTTTTGCGAAGTATTGATATGGACGATTACATAACTGAGGATCCGTCTAAGGATGAGAACAAGAAAGCTTGGTTGCGGGATGATGCTCGACTGGTTCTGCAGATCAAGAATTCGATCGAGGATGACATTATTTGCTTGGTCAATGAATGTGAGTATGTTAAAGAGTTGCTTAAATATTTAGAATTCCTTTATTCTGGAAAAGGAAATATTAGTCAAATATTTGAAATCTGCAAGCGCTTCTACCAACCTGAGTTTGGTGACCAATCTCTTACAAATTACTTTATGGAACACAAACGAATTTATGCAGAGTTTAATGCATTACTCCCAGATAGTAATGATGCAAAAGTTCGGCTTGCCCAACRCGAACAACTAGCAGTTATCAGTTTTCTTCTTGGTCTTCCACCTAGATTTGATGTGGCCAAAGACCAATTACTCTCTGGTTCGGAAATTCCAGCTTTAGAGGAGGCATACACTCGAGTACTTCGCGTTAAGAAGTCACAACCCGTCTTGTCATCTCAGTCTAATAGTGCTTTGGTTAGACGTAGTACAAATGCAAACAGAGGTAATACCTACCAAGGGAATTCCACGACTTCGAACGCTCAACGTTCTAGTGCTCCAAAATCAAATTCAGGAGATATTATTTTTTGCAATTATCGCCATAAGCCTGGTCATACAAAACGAGAATGTAGAAAGCTATTGAAAAGTCAGAAAACACAGTCTGCCCATGTTGCATCTACTCCTGATAATGCTGGTAAGTTAGTTACAATTCCTGCGGGAGAATTTGCTAAGTTCCAATAGTATCAAGAGTCATTGACGGCATCGTCCTCTAATCCGATTACCGCCATCGCTGAGTTAGGTAACACGAGTAAATGTCTTATTTCCTCCACATCAAAATGGGTCATTGACTCTGGTGCGACAAATCATATGTCAGGTAACCCTAACTTATTTGCTAAGTTCTTCCCATCTGCATCTTTGCCTGATGTTACCATAGCAAATGGCACAACTTCTCCTATTCTTGGCTTTGGCACAGTTCATCTTTCCACATCCCTTTCACTAACATCTGTTTTAAATTTACCACAATTTTCTTTTAATATGATCTCTGTTAGTAAACTCACTTGTGATCTCAATTGTTGTGTCTTATTCTTCCCTGGTTATTGCCTTGCTAAGTAAAGATTTGTGATTTACCATTAAATTTTTGGAATAAGCAATGCTTTGAAGAAATAGGAGTTTAACTTGGTGGTTTAAAGAAGATTTCCTATGAAACCTTAAATCCCTTGGATGGCTCAGAAGCTCTGATTCAGGTAGAAGAGAACTAATGTGGATTTTTATCGGCATAAATAAAAATTAACAGTTTGGCAGCATTATAGTTCGTGTGAAGGAGGTTTAGAGTTTTGAGAAACAACAGAGTTCGATCTCCAGTAAGATGTTGGTTGCAAGATCTTCAAATGCGATAGATGTTCAAAGGCTTCATTTGTTATTGTCAGATGAAGAACCTTTTCAAGGGTTTTCATATGATAAAAGAGAAAATGAATCTGAAGTTAGGTCTGAAAATGTAGAGGGCAGTCCAAATGTTCTTCCTATTTTGGAAAACATTCTGCTGAATCTTCACTGACACTAACATTGAAATCTTTTTCATCATCAGACAAAACGTTATCCTTGATATGTAAATTTGATTGCTCACTTGTTGAATGATGATACCATGGCTGAGAGGTGAAACACCCTTCTAGAACCCTCCTCTTTCCTTTGTTGGAAACCTCAGTAAGTCATTCTTTTTGCTAGAATAAAAGAATTGGTAGGGGAGCAATAATAGTCCTAGGCGGTAGTATGTCAGGGTTAAAACTAGGACTGCATCAACCAGAACGTCAGTTGTCATGGATACCTTAACACCTTCTAAGCAAGAGATTTTTATTTTATTTTTTGATATCCGTTTGTCTGGGCCAGCTTGCGCACACCTCGATTATTCACGGGTCAACCGTCTGACCCTACTACATTTGGTTGACAAGGAAACTCGTAGGATATTAAATCCTAGGTAGGTGGTCACATGGTTTAAGCCCATTCCCTCTAAGTCCTTTGCTATTTACAATGACCCTCGTTGACCACTTGAGTCATCTCATGATGGTTAGAGCAAGGATTTTTAATAAAGATTTATCAGAGGTTTCCCTAACAGAGGAATTTAATTTACTTTTTACAAAGGATAACCAATTACACTCTTCTGCAAAAATGGATTCCATTCCTTTTCCTCGTCGGGAGCAGATGTTGGTTGTCGAAAAAGCTTCTTGCAGATAATCAAAGTTTTTTTTAAATATTTTGAAGATGTAGGCCTTACCCTAGTCCAATCATTGAATAGGTAGACTTTAATTATGGGCAACAAGTTTTTGGTTGGTTCTGCTTTGCAGCTGTTTTGGGGGTTGAGATATTATCGTTTTTGTGTCTTCTCTTGGTGGAAGGAGGTTTCAGTTTCTTTTCCTCTGGTGATCAGCTTGTGTTAAGTGATTGTTTTGGTTTCCTCCTCAGCAGTCAGTCCTTTTGAATTGGCCAGCTTTATTGATAACAGTTTTTGAGTATCTATTATTTGTCTTCAGATCTCATCTATTTCATAGGTTTTTGGTTTCTATGTTCTGTTTGTTTTTCTTATTCTTTTTTCGCTTCCTTTGGGAGCTTGTATCCTTGAACTTTTTTCTTTCTTATTATCAATTAAAAGTTTGTTTCTTGTCAAAAAAAAAAAAAAAAAGATGCTTCTCAGCGATAGAAACATAATCAGCAAAATATCCAGATTGTGTAGAAAAATTTACAAATTCTACATTCACTTTTGCATGATCCTTTGGGGTACTGAAATGTCTCTTCAAACACTTCATTCGCTCTTGTGTTAGTTCCACATCTTGATGCGCTGCAAGCCATTCTTCACTAAGTACCTATATAAGTTTTAAAAAAATGGTAAACTCTCTAATAAAACATAAACTATAAGATTAGAATAAGGATAAAAAGATGGGGGCTCTTTTTTATGGCACAACCAAAGTTACATTGCCACGAAAAATTCCCACCCCCATCACTTAATTTTTAAATTTTATTCACATATTATCGAACGGGTTTTGAATCATCCTTAATATTAGAAGAGGCCGAGTCTAGGGAAGAATTTGAATTTGATGATTGGGTTGAAGATGCATCGTAATTTAGTTGAACATATTCTACTTTAGTTTTTATTTAATTCATACAAAAATAAGGAACAAAAAAAAAATAAGGTGGCAAAACACAAATGTACAAATTGATTGGCCGAACACGAAGAGTAGTCTTGACTGCTGCAATCTCGGCAGCGGCAAAGGCAAATCCTACCGCTTTGTTTTCGATGGTGGGTGTAGGGCCTTCTTCATTTTGCTTTGTGTTTTTGTCGTCTCTGGTTAGACTAAAATTAGGGCTTTTTTTTTGTTTAAATGATTTTCAGTTTTTGTTTTTGAAGTTTGATTTTTTAAAATGTATGCTGGGCTTCTAAAAGTGGACTTATGAATCAAAATCTTTACACAAGCGTTTCCATGCCGTGTCCAAAATTTAACCAGAAAAAAAAATCAGACACTTCAAATTGCATGTCGGACATGTGTCCGACGCAGGTCTGACACAGACACTCCTCCTATTTTGGAGTGTCCGTGCTTTATAGGTGATGAGACCATAGTTAAAGTGGGAAAGTAGGAATATCATTGCTAACGTCCTAAGAGGAATGAATCAATGGGGATTCTCAACACAATGGAAACAAAAAATTGATTTTCATTTCCCATTATTATTACTGTTAAGTCGATGCACGTTTAATTTGTCCTATTGGCAAGCCACTGTTAATTTAGTTGATTTACACTAATATCCTTTTTTTTATATTTTTAGATAAGGAATGGGAAAGTAGCAAAGGAGACAAAATATTTGTTAGAATAAAAAGAAAGAAAGAAAGAAACCAAAAACGGCATGACTAATCCTATAAAATAAAGAAGTAAACATATTTCTCTGGAACAACTAACTTAGCTAACCATCACGAAGTGAAGAAAAATAAAATTAAACCTTTATGCCTTCCTTTCCATCGTATGTTAAATAATTTGATGGTGCTTTCTTTGTAGATGTAGGGGTACAACAAATTGTAATCGTCTATTTTCCTAGTCAAATTTGTGAATTTTTTTCCTAGTCTTATTTGTTCCAATTGGATGCATTTGTATCTCCCCGTAGATTCATTGTATTTATATTTTGTATTTGTATTTGCTGTCTTCTTGTTAAAATAAAGAAAAGAAATCTATTTTCCTCTTTATATGCTCAAGACTTCTCACACTTGCATGCTTTCATGTTGTAACTTCATCGTCATTGTGCCAATGTTTCCAGATACGTGGATCTTGTCATCTCTTTTTCCCTAAGATTCCAAATAGTACGTATCTTTTGAAACAACAGTTTTGTATAGGTTAATGATGGTCGATTGCGCACTGCTGGAGAGGCTTCCCAGCGAAGTACTAAAGAAGATTGGGCTGAATGGATGAGGCATTTCAGCATCGAGCTTCTAAAGGAATCACCTTCTCCTGCATTACGGACCTGTGCAAGGCTTGCACAGTTGCAGGTTAGTCTATAGCATTCGTTCGGATTTATACCTTGATAAAATTGATTCTGATGTAAGGTACTGGCAGCCTTTTGTTGGGCGTGAGTTGTTTGCAGCTGGTTTTGTTAGCTGTTGGGCACAACTAAATGAGACAAGTCAGAAGCAGTTAGTTCGGAGCTTGGAGATGGCATTTTCCTCCCCAAATATTCCCCCTGAAATTTTGGCTACACTTCTTAACCTGGTTTGTTTCAGAAGCATGATCTTTGTTTAATTTGAGCAGTTAAATCATGTGGGTATGCATACTTCACTTATTTCATGACGTTCATAAACATCTTATAACTGTAAGTGCGAAAACGATAAAATAGTTAAGTACTTATTGAAGGGTGAACTCCAAGCTGTGACAAAAACCTTTTGTATTCAGCCACCTATGGTTGGAGGTTTAAGGATCTCCTGAATTCTTCATTTTTGGCTGTAAACTGCTCGTAACATTGTAATGTGTTTTTGCTGTAGCAATTCAAAGTTATCTCACTTAAACTCTATCTTCTATTTTTATTGTTTGTGTTATGGAATCTGTTGAATATTATTGCAGGCAGAGTTCATGGAACATGACGAGAAGCCTCTTCCTATTGACATTCGTCTCCTTGGTGCTCTTGCGGAGAAAGTAAACTCTTTGTTTCTATGTTATCGTTATCTGAAATTATAGCGTTGAGAGGAACTGATAGATAATTTATTGTGAGAATTTCTGCAGTGTCGTGCATTTGCTAAAGCTCTGCATTACAAAGAAATGGAATTTGAGGGCGCAAGGTCCAAAAAGATGGATGCTAATCCGGTTGCTGTAGTTGAAGCACTTATTCATATTAACAATCAGTTGCACCAGCACGAGGTTAACTTTTTGTTGTCCAATTTGCTGTCTTTCTTAGAATATGATTTTGGCTGATATTTGGTGTGGTCGAGTGTCTACTTTAATCTTTTCTGTCTGTTATGAAATATTTATTGCCATTCTAGTGATCCATGTTTGCTTTCTCTAGGCTGCTGTTGGAATATTGACATATGCTCAACAACATCTGGGTGTTCAGCTGAAAGAGTCTTGGTAATTTTGAACGTTCAATTTTTTATTTTTGGTTTTCACTTTCGAATTTCCATCCCTTTGATGTTAGAGATTATAAAAAAATACATATAATTTTTTAAAAAATAAAAATTCCTTGAGGGGCCGTTCAAAGTTTGTATGATAATGAGATATCTGTAGGATAAAATGTATCCAAGTTTATTACCTTAGTATTTTTATTATTGAAGTTTAATAATTATAACTGTACAAATTAATTTTGATTCATCAAACTTAAATAATTTATTTTAACTATTAGTTATTAATTACTTCTACTTTAAAAATGTTGATCACGTTGATTCAATATACTTTCATAAATTAAAAATATTAATTAAATGTTGCATTTATTTAATATACATCTATGTATTAAAATTAATGAAGTAAATAATTTTAAATATTAATTAATGTTAATTCCTAAAACTAAGTTTATAAATTTAATCATTTATTAAATAAGAATTATTTAAATTGGTTATATTTAATTTTATGAATTAAAATTAATTGAGTAAATACATAAATTGAAAAGGTATGAAATAAATAATTTTGACTTTTTTTTTCTTTTTGTACTTGGATTGGAAAGTCAAATTTAATATTAAAATTCCAAATCCGTCCCATTGAACATTTGTTGCTAGTTTTTCTCATGCATATTTGTTTTGTAGCTATATTGGATGTTATTTTTTACCTCATTTAGGCGTTTTGGTGTCGAGTTCAAGCACTTTCTTACCTTAATTTAAGCTAACGGTAAACTTAATCTTTTTTTTTTTTTTTGGTTACTAAAAACGAACTCTTCATTGGTATCAATACTTTAATACTCTTCCTCACTTGTGGGTTTGTAAATTTGCACAAGGTCTAACCACTTGTTAACAATATTAATAGGTGATGCACAAGGTCTAACCACTTGTTAACAATATTAATAGGTGAAAAAATAACATTACAAGGACTTGAACTGAGAACCTCCTATATGATACCATGTTAAATCAATCATCAATTGACCCAAAAGCTTAAGCTGATGGGTTTGGTAAATTTAATCCATTTTCAATACTTTAAATTTAATCCATTTTCAATACTTTAACAGCTTATACTTAGGGAATTTTTATCGTTGAGTTTAGCCATTTTTTAAGCTTTATTTTGAGTCTTTTGTTGATTGAATTGTGTGATTTATTGTTATTACCTAATTTGGTTTTGAAACTCAGTTTAAATTTAGGATTTAATTTGATAAAATGAAAGATATAAGTTTATATTGATTCAATAAGTTAAGTAGGGGGTAAAAATGTTTTATCTATTATTTTTAATTGTTTACATCTTTATAATCATTTAGTTGTAGTTAAATTATTTATTGCATAAGCTTTAATTTTTCTTTTCTTTTTTATAACAAAAATAACTAGGCTTTAATAATTTTATCAATTAAAACCAATGTATTGATTAATATTATCAATATCTATTAATTAAATTTAATATGTAATTATCAATCGAAATTAGCAGATTAAATTTTTTTTCTTTAAAATGGTATTACTGAATTGTTTATTAATTTTATTAAATAATAATGGTTGATGAAAGAAATTAGAAAATGTTTGTGGGATAGGATTTAAGTTTTTGGGTAGTTGTAGAGTGCCTATAGTGATGGTAATAGAGCATTCACGTAAGATTGAATGTTCCTATGCTTTCTCTCTCTCTCTCGACACAGGATGGGATCAAGCACTCATTTCCTACGGATGACCACTTTTCCCCTCGTCTCTCTATTATTTGGAACTCATTTACTTTCCCTTCTTCCATGCTCTTGTAATTCTTAAACAATGTGATGTATCAATGCTAGTTCTAAATTTTGTGGATATAGAAGGAATATAACTCACCTTATTTGCTATTTTTAAGGTATGAGAAACTGCAACGCTGGGAAGATGCTCTTAAGGCATATACTGCCAAAGCATCACAAGCATCAAATCCACATCTTGTATTGGATGCCATGTTAGGTTTGTGACTTTGACATCTCATTTCAAAAAATTATGTCTTGCTCTGTTTCGATGTCTTGCTCCATATCTTGCATTAGATGCCTTGTATGCAGGCTTGCAACCTTATTTAGCTGATATCATGGACGAATAAGTTGATTATTCTCAATGTCATTTGCAAGAATGATGGAGCAGTTGTGATCAGAGTGAATACTGCTACCTTACCTAATGATGAAGATATACATTAATTTATCAGTTAAATATGCTCTTGACACTTGGGGAGTTGTTCATTGTTTTGTAAAGAACATGCAACTAAAATAAATTTCGGAATTTAAATTTTACTGAAGTAGTTCTATATGTTGGACTTAACTTAAAGATAGTGGAGCCAGTGATTTTTTCTTTGTTGGCATGTAAATAATACAATATATTCCCAACAAAATGTGTTAAATTATAGTTTATTTTATTTTAAAGGTTTCCTATTTTATTTAGGTTAGGGTTTTATTGTTTTAATAGGTAAGTATTTCCTTATCCTAATAGGCAAGAATTTCTTTTTAGTTTCTTCTTTGTGACTGCTATTTATATAGCCTTGTATCAATCATTTGGAGTAAT